GTTACACCTGCACAAGAGGGAATCGGTAACAAATAGAACGCAAAGAATACTTCAAAGGAAACAAGAAGCAACCCTCACCATGGTTCTTGGCCTCCCATCTGCCTTTTGCCAAATCACGCCAAGCGCGCTCGGCGTAAGAGGAGGTCGAGGCTAACTTCCGAACCCAGTCCTCGAGGTCGGGCACCGCTTATGGCATCCAAGGGGCAGCTGAACATCAGGGAAGGAAATCAGAAAAAATCGGAAAAACACCTGAAAAGTAAACAAAAATCACTTACGGTCAAAATTCCATTCCTCAGGGAACGGCATCTTCTCCTCCGGGATGATATCGCGGGTCCTCACTCAAATATAACGACCCATCCAACCTCGATCCTTGTCTTCATCGATGCTCGACATCAATGCCTTCGATGCCCGACGATAAAGTCTGATTAGTCCTCGAAAGATCTGAGGCCGATACAGTCGAATGAGGTGGTTCAGAGAAAAATCCAACCCTCCGGCTTTGATAGAGAAGAAGCGCAATAGGATCACTATATGCCATAAAGAGGGATGAATTTGGCCAAGGGTGACTTGATACCTTTTGCAGAAATCGATAATCACCGGGTCGACGGGTCCCAGTGTGAAGGGATAAGTGTAAACACTTAAAAACCCCACCACGTAAGTGGTAACATCCTCATCAGAAGACGGAATTTGCAGCACGACCTCGAAACCCCAGTTGCAATCTTTTCGGACAGCCTCGAGGTAATCCTCCGTTATAGAGCATGTATACATCGATACGTGTTCACATCGACCCGGAACGGAGGGAAGGTTCTCCACCTTAAAATCGGTTTTTAAAATGCACGGGCCAGGAACATAGTCATGAACCGCCGGCTCCACCGGCGCCTTATCATCAGACGACCGTGAGGAAGAGGCCTTTTCCTTCTGAGGAACAGTTTTGGAAGTTTTCGCCATTGATATGAAAGGAAAGGGTGCAAAGGAAGAAAGGGACATCGCCAAAATTCTGGTATGAACGGCCCCATAGCAGCAAAGTAGAGAGGATAAATAGGAAAATCTGGAAGAAAAGAAGGCGCAAAAATGGTAAAAGTTGTGTGGAAAGACCATTTATAGACTGAGATCTGACGGTTCGGTATCAGTGGTGGACCACCATCTGACACACGTTAAATGCCTCGATAAAACCAAGTCGAAGGGACAGATTACATATGTCGAGATCGGGTTTGATAGAAACGGCGGCATAAATTTTATCGAGCCGCAGGGAAATCATATCATTCCTCGCCACATCCTTTCCGAGAAACGAGGGGACTATCTGTATACGGTCAAAACCGATTCTCAGTCATAAAGGTCGGTCGAGACAATGACGTTTCAATCGAAGGGTATCCGCATGGCGAGCTCGGACGAATTTCGAAGTTGAGACGTCGAGCTTCGAGCTATAAGACCAATCAAGAGCAAAACTCGATATCATTATCGAGCCCGCGTCCGAATCGGACTACGGGGTAACGACGACCGACATAGGCCTCGAATATCGATGCTCCAGGGCAGAGCCGAGTTCGAGCTAAGACTGGGGATTCAATCTAGCACCAAGCTCGAGTCAGTGCCAAGCTCGCAGACAAGAGCCGTTACAATCGCACCAAGGGAGAGAATCTCGGCGAAAATCAAGGGAGAGACAAACCATCATGGGTTCTCCACTATATGTATTATTTTATGTTGTTACAAATAAAGTAGTAACCCCTACTATAAAAGGGGAGATAGACCGCAATAGAAAGAAAAATTGGATTGAGCTGGTTCTTCGAATACTTTTCAGTCTTCCCCCATCTTTTTTTTTATTTTCATAGCAAAAATATTTGTACCATCATTTTGTATCAAAGAACTTTGCATACCCTTAGAACCATATCTAAATTTAACATTATTCGATTTTTCGGGTAAACAAACATATATCTTCAAATCTCTGACCAATCCAAAACTTCAATCATACTTCGTTGTCTCTACAAGAGTATTGGAAGACAAATAAGATTAGTGCAAATACAACTTCTACAATTACACGAAGTATTACTACTAATTGATTCTGGTATTTAGTTTTTGTAGTGTATTGATCATGATCTGTGATTTATTAATTTATTATTCATCTAATGTTGTATAAAAAATGAGATTGTATAACTCCTTCAATAACGTAATAATACCATAGAGAATATAAATCTAGAGGCTACACATGATCATCAAGCACAAACAGATGACCCTAGATAGTCCATATCAATCTTTCATTGATTGTAGTTCATGTCCAAGTATCAATCATCTTAATATTTCACATCCACGTACATAAAATAGTTATCAACAGTGGCGGAGGCAGAATTTTCGCTAAAGGGTTCAAAAAAAAAAATTAAAAGAGATTGTTAGCTATTAGGAATTGAACCAATGACCTCACAAAGGTTTAGAACCTCTTAACCACTAAGCTATGTTTTTAGAATATATCAAGGGGATTCAAAACATAATATACAGATGTAAAAAAAAAATTGTTAAATGTACAGTGTTATTTTTCGCCCTAAATCCGCTCCCTGGTTAGCAATGATAACTGTAATAGTTGATATATCCGGGGCGAAAAAATTCTCGTCAATAAGTAGCCTTAAAGTCATCATATGGAGTTCCATTTTTAGTCACAAAAGTGATCTGAAGTAATATAACTTAGAGAGAGAACCATCAACATGGAGATCAAAATGGCAAAAAAGAATAGAAGTGATTGCAAACAAACTACTAGTTAGTTCTAGATCACATGAGAAACTTGTAAAAAAAAAGAACACGTTGGTTAATTATCCACTCACAATCCCACAAATAGTTTTTCCAATAACTTCAACTGGAAAGAGAAATAATACTTGTTGTCCATCTTGGCCCAACTCCTTGAAATCCCACAAGTAATTTGTTATTGGACGGTAAGTATTACCAGTAAAAGAGTATATAGAATGCGACATATATAACTCTAAACCAAAGCACGTTAATTGAGAACAGGACAAAAATAGTCATTGACATGATCTAATTCATATACATGATCCTAAATCAAAGCATTACTCAGTTTCGAAAAAGAAAACTAATAAATACCTTTAGAGAACTTTGCTTCTTTCTACAGCAACACCACAATTTATATCCAATAGCCAAATCCCATAAACTAAAGATTTCAACATTAAGAAATATAGGAATAAAAAGAAAGCAACACCAAACCATGTTAGGACAATCATCTTTCATTAGCACAGAAATACGTAAATGAAGAGCGCCAAAAGAAACAAAAAAGAAAAGCTTTTGACATGCTTATAGCCAATTATAAGCTGTAATTTTTTGTAAATATATGATAATGGGAATGCAATGAAACATGAAGTTTATTATATAAACTATTTATTGGTTTGGAACTTACGGGAGAGATGTATGCGATTTTATATCTGCAGCAAAAAATAATTATGATGAATAATGTGAAACAATAATCTCTTTTATAGGAATAGTTGGCTTATACCTTTGCTACATGGATTCATGCAATGAATCTAAATCTCACACAAATTGAAAAACCAAATATATAGCGTAGACCAGAGAATAACTGAACCATACATATAGTTGTCCTAAAACAATTAGGCTACTATCCTCTAAACCATGTCATATTTGGTTGTGATAACGATTAAGTCCAAAAAGAATTATACCCAATATCAACTTTATAGCTAGGGTTGGCGTATGTGTAGTTTAAATCGAAAAAGAATTATGGTCTTGGATAATTCACCATTATATCCTTAAATTATGTAAATATTTAAGGGCATAAAAGTATATTTTGGGGATATTTTTGTCGTTCCATATTTAGCGTAAAATATTTGTGCTTTTATAATAATATAGATAGATATAGATATAGGTATAGATAAACTAATTAACGGAAATGTATTAATGGGGATGAAAGAGAAATGAATATGCATTTATAAGAATATAAACTAATTCCTTAATTAGTGGTCTTTCATTAACCATAAGTACTATTAGAATATGCCATAAGTGTAAATGAGTCTATCAATTCTGGAAAACCCAAAGGCTACACTATTTATTTAAATAGTTTTATATATTTGCCCCACAGTGTTAAAATCTCTTTTGGGGAAATGGATACCATTTTCTTTTACATAGAATGATTTTACACAAAAGTAATAGTATATACTATTATATAAGTATTTTTTGAGAAAAGGAAAAAGTTCTTGAATTTATTTACTGATGTTGTGTTAAATATAAAGTTGGTCAAATATAATAGTGGTGGAATTAAGATTAGGAGATGATGGGAGTTGCATATGGTAATAACCTCAGCTAACGAAGGATGAAAATAAATGCTTATGTGGTGCTAGAATAAAGTTATAAAAATGGGGATTAGAGAGAGATTGGGAAATCACCCGTTTTACATCATGTTATATATATTTTCCTTCAAGGATTTATTAGACACGGCTAGAATAATTAAATAATTCTAAGTGTGTTACCTTGTTGATTCCAAACCTGAATAAAGGAGGATGGTTGTGACAGGCTAAAAACTAGTGTAAAACTAGTTAAGTCATGATAAATCCTTATAATACGGAATAAGAAAAGTATGATCTGTGAGGATTCATATTAGCTTACGGCAACCAGTTTTAGACTAAGGCATAGTCGTTGTTTTTCAGAATAACTTAATGAAGAATGATATTCTACACACTATAAAACAAGGTTTGATATATGCAGAAGCCACAAGTAATAAGCTTCTGTCACAATACCAAATTCTACACCTTCCCGAAATGCCCAAAACCTGGGGAAAAATATAAACTCTAAAAGTATTGCTTAAAAGAACCTTTCCAATGTTTTGAAAGCATTTCAACAAGTTTCTGGCAAAATATATCTATGTAAAGCACTTCATTTCTGCTTAGCACAGCCATTGTCAAAGAGAAATATTATACGTATTTAATAGATGAAGGTAATGACTTTTTGAAATAGTATTTCAATTTGAACATTAACTAAAGTTAGACAGCCTGCCAAAAAGATAAAGCCAAAAAATCTGTACAAAAAAGCATTTTAGGCTAGTTTAAGAGAAAACACAAAAGGATGGTATTTACTAAGTTTTAGATTAGTGATGCTAGATTTTAATCTAGTTCTAACTTGATTTGAGGGCAGTTCAGAGCAACACTTAAATCCACAGTTTTTCGTACTAGTGAACCGCCGTTGTATCCATCTATAAGCATCTGCCCAATTTTCGACCTCCATTCCGAGATATCTTTCTCTGTCTTTCTGTCATGGCAAACTCGATCACAGTAGTTGAGCATCGTCCCAAGACCGGTGTTAGGTACCCAACCATATGCCATTAATACTCTTGCTTCTCCTTCACTCAGCTCTTCTCCAACCTGTGTGCAGACGCAATGGAAGCATAAGAATGTTCTATATGATAAGTTCAAATATACAATATGAATAACAACTGATCAGTTGGATTAGAAAAACTAGTTAATGTGAAAGTCACAGCCACATTTAAGTGAATCGGTTTTCAACAAGATGCAAGAGTAAATATCGATGGCAGAGTACAGGTCAGTAAGGTACAGGTACATGAATACTAATTTTGAGAGCCCATTTGAGAACACTTTGACATGCTAAGGCGCTTGCTTTGTGAACATTTTTCATAGACTATAACATTCGTATAAATGTATATAAAGACGTCCAAAAAGATCAACTCATCTCAATGGTGGGTAGGCAGTGAGACTTGAATTCAAGAATTTTGTCTACTTTAACAATCATGTTTAAAGCCTCATGTAAAAGCTTAAACTGTTAGAGATGAGACACTTGACAAATGTAATTTTTTTTTCCTTTTGTTTTGATGAAGAAAAGATGAGACACTTAAGATTATTTATTTTCGTTCTGTAACAAATTTTTAATGGATAACTAACATTAGGTGGTTATAGCTAAATAATATTGACTATTTTATCCAGTAACCAAATGCCAATCATGATTGCTAAAACGATTTAGCAAAAGACTCAGATTAAATCAAGTAACATAATCAAGCCAGACAAGAAGAAAATTTTTGTGGACGAGGAAGTTCAACAATCATCTACTACCCCCACCCCTCTTCACCTAATTACCCCAACCAGAAGGGGAGAAAAATGAAGTGAAGCAAAACAGGATTTCAAATGATAACTCGTCCACAAGAGAAAGCATCAGGAAGCACTACCTGGTGAAGGTAAGTAAAAGTAAACTATTTCTCACTTCAATAAATACCAAAGAAAGTTGATTACTAGGTCACAAATGCAAGCAATTTGATGAAATTCTGCATCAGGAACATACAAATAGAAGCATCATAAGAAAAAAATAATATAGCAGCATCCAAGGTAAATACCGTCAGTGTTCTATTCTCGATTAGGTTGACCCTGCTGCAGCTAGTAAGCTTCATAGCAGTTACCAATCGCCTGATTTGCCAATCAATAGCGGTGGAATCCACCAGTTCAAAGAAGTACGTTGCATAGCCATATTCAGGACGCTCAAGCACAATCCTGCAAATAGGAAAATATAAAAGTTTCTTTTTGGGTCCTGACACATTACGAAGACTCTAGAACCAAAATCTATGCAGCCAACACCAGACCTGTTATGCCTTTCGAAGACAAAAATAAATGATTGGAGATCTCGGCACCAACCCCATTCAACAGGCCACTTTCGGAAATGTAGATACCGTGCCTAAAGTGTAATTTGAAAAAGAAAAAACGGCAATACATATCAGATAATAGTGATATGATGACAATTGATTTTAATATGATAACTAGACCTTTGCATCAATTAATGTCTATACCTGCTCAACAAGTGAAAATAGACAAGCCAAACAATAGCTAGCTTTTTCACCTTTTGTACACTGGAGTGGAGCTAGCTTTAACAATGACTGTCGCTGGGAGAAAAGCTGACCAACAAAGTTAACACAACATATGAGATCAGATGAAGGGATCTGTGCCCTGCCTAAAAAGCTATCACCAGAAAAAAAAAATAAAGCGAAATAAAATAAAACGAAAGAACCAGCAATGGACCATAAGTGTGTATCGCCTGGTTCAAATCTTTTCCAGAATAGCCTATTGTAAATAGTATGAAGGGAATAAAAAAGAGAAACACTTGATCTACTCAAAACTTGTACCACATAAAGGTAAAAGAAATGAAAATTCTACAAAAGAGAGAACAACATTAATTAGTCCCATTTCCTGTTATGTTTCAGCTTTCTTATCATTCAGAATCCTTAAGTCGCCAAATATTTCAAGCTTCCCATCAGGCCTTGATGAACACTTCAACAAATCCGGCTTCTGACATGAGAGGCTTCAGTTCAGAGAAAACAACTACAAATGGTTTACACCTTAAAATTGCTGCTTCACAAGATATCAAAAGGCATCTGGTTCTATCTACATGTCTATTGTTTGAGTCTGTCTAAATACCCTCCTACTTCCTTGCCCAAACTTTACTCTATGACCAGGGTTGTTATCATCTGTCACAACCAGAAACTGCCCCACTTCACCTAACAAGCTGCCTACTACTTTTCTTCCAAGCCTAGTATCATTATAGCAGATTTTTACACTCACCAATGCTCACCAAAGAGACCGTCAAGATACTCAAAATCCAATAGTAGCCTAAAACTTCAGTTTCTTAACCCATTGAATAACTCCACGATTTCAACATTCCAATCGCAACAATATCACTTGTAGATCAATAATCAATTGACAATCATAAGCAGTCATGCCAAGGGATCAGGATACTTTCAGATAGCTAAAATATTTGAGAAAGGATAGACGAAATGGCATGCATAAAAGAAACGATAGCTATGAAACTCAAAAGCCACCCCTAATTCATGGACAAACAGTTAGTAACATTTTCCAGATTATTGAGTGACTAACACCTATTGCATGCTTCAGCAGGTAAGAGGTAACTCCGACACAAACATATATGGTCATACCTTTGATATAACAGCTTCAAGCTCTGAGAAGCTGTCTTCAGAGGTCAAATCATCAAGAGGCTCGTTACTCTCATTTTCTCCGTACAGCTTAATCTCATCAACAGATATGCCTTTTTCTAGTAATACCTGCAAAGATCAATAAAGGCTATGAACCACCTGATTTTGAGCATGGCAATTTGATGGATAAAATACCTGCAAGAGTCCAGGAGCATCTTCCTCCATTGCTACTTCAACTGACTCTCTGCAGTTTGTTGGAGAAAGAAAAGGATAAATTGTGTATAGTAAATGTAAATACATAAACATACATGTGAGCATTTGCCTGTTGAAGTTTTGAGTAACAAAGTATAATTGAAAATGATAAAGAAAAGGGAGGATTGGTGGACATCCATACTAAATGTAGACATATACAAATCAATACATACATATATGAGCATATACAGAGGGCAGAAAAAGGAATTTTACGTGGCCGTTCTCTTTCGTTTCCGTGGCCGACTAACCCTCAGTGGTTTAGCCGGCAATGATGAGATGGGTGTGCAATCAGAGACAGAAGAAACTATTTTCCTTGAGCACTCTGCAACTCTACCTATCTCAAATGAAGGAACCGCTCTCGAAGAGAATAGCTTCATTCGCTCTCGTAACAGCATATGATCCAGTTCATCTCCAGAAGAATCATTGGCAATTCCGATTTCAGTTTTCACCAGAGTGGTGCTACAATGGGGCATAGTACCACTTCCATTCTTTGCAGTGGTTTCAACCATATTGTTATCCACAGGTTCAACCTTGACGTGTACAAGGTCCGATATAGGAGAACTAAATTTGCTCTTCCTATTAAAAGAAGAAAGTTCTAGTCCACGACTTGATTCTTGTTGTTTGGAAAGCGTTCTCCTTCCATTTCCTAGAAGTTCCGTTGCATTTCCAGAGTCAGACAACTGATCTGTCTGACAGTGATGCCCCATCTTAGAAACTTGAGGATCTGTACTAGACAAGCCTCCAACTTCCACACTTGAATGATTAGAAATCCTATGAAGTTCATGAGAACCATTACCAATCACTTTAGTAGGACGAAGCTGTCCTTTCACTATCCCGGCACTTCGAGGAGTCGTGTCATTCATGAGTACGCTGGAAAAGTTGGAAGGTTTATCATCCTGCACAATATACAGAAATAGGCAACTCCTACAGTTAACTTATTAAAGGAACATAACAAGATTCAAATGGGCAGTAACATAACTGACATTTTTCCCCACTTCTCCTTCCTCCACGGAGAAAGTTGTCCAACAGAAAAGCAGTTAGGTTGGGTAAGAGATTTGTCAATAAGCATTTCCGAAAGGATCAAAGACACAATTCCCGTAGCTTCTTTCCTCCCTCGCCGAATAGCCAGGAGAAATGAAGAGGAAAGAGAAAACTATTTAGGTGATAATGTAAGTTTTTGATGAAGAAGGTGATAATGTAAATTATTTTAAGGGATGCAGCATTTTAATCAAAATAATAATAATAACATAGTAGAACCACATTCCAGACTGGCACATGGATGTAAGATGTTCTGCAACAGACATAGGATCCGACCTGCTGGACTTGAACCAGCAACCAAGAGGGATGCTCCCCTTTCTCTTCCCTGAGCTAAGGTCGATCACATACCAACTTTTACAGCTAAGCATCAACGCAAAATGCCTAGTGGCAAGATGTAAAAACATGCTAACAACAGGGGGAGAAAGAAAATACAGAATAAGATTATTTACTTTGTTGCTTATAATTCTTTGGACGTGGATGTGAGGCTTGACTCACAAGTCATCCCTAAGAGAGAGAGTTTCAAGCACCTAGGGTCAATTATCTAGGGAGATGGGGAGATCGACGGGGATGTCACGCACCGTATCGAGGTGGGATGGATGAAATGGAGGTTAGCGTCTGGAGTCATGTGTGATAATAATGTGCTACTGAAACTCAAAGGTAAGTTCTATAGAGCGGTGGTTAGACTGCCATGTTGTATGTGGCTGAGTGTTGGCCAGTCAAGATTTCACATATCCAGAAGATGAAAGTAGCAGAAATGAGTATGTTGAGATGGATGTGCGGGCACACTAAGATGGATAAGATTAAGAATGAGGATATTCGGGAAAGGGTGGGCGTGGCTCCCTTGGACGACAAGATGCGGGAAGCGAGGCTTAGATGGTTCGGGCACGTGCGGAGGAGAAGCCTAGATGCCCCGGTTAGGAGGTGTGAGCGGTTGGCTCTGGCAGGTACGAGAAGAGGTAGAGGGCGGCCTAAGAAGTATTGGGGCGAGGTGATAAGGCAGGACATGGCGCGGCTTCAAATTTCCGAGGACTTGGCCCTTGATAGGAAGGTGTGGAGGTCGTGCATTAGGGTTGTAGATTAAGGGGTAGTCGAGCGCTTTTCCTCGTTGTCCCGGCTAGTCTGATAGTGTTTTGTCTAGGACTGCTAGCGGTTTTTGTTGTGTTTCACACTTTTTTTTTGCCTTTCCATTTATTTGCTGTCTTTTACGAAGCTGATACTGCTTTTCTGGTTTATGTTGTTACGTATCTATTGTCTCCGAGCCGAGTATCTCCCGGAAACAACCTCTCTATCCCTCTGGGATAGGGGTAAGGTCTGCGTACACTCTACCCTCCCTAGACCCCACTAATGGGATTCTACTGGGTGTTGTTGTTATTGCTTATAATTCTTGCCAAAAATAAGTAGCCCCAGAAGCTAGGAAAAGAATTTCTTTAAGTAGGCGTTTGGACATAAGAATAGTAAAATTCAAAAAAATTGTGAAAAAAATTTTCAAGTGAAAATGGTATTTGAAATTTCCCGTTTGGACATAAAATTTGGTTGAAGTTTTTTCCAAAAAAATTTCACTTTTTTTCGAAATCAGCGTTTGTTCATAAAATTTCCAATTTTTACTTGAAGATGAATTTTGAAAATTTTTTAAAAACTCCAAAAAGCTGTTTTTCAAAATTTTCACTCAAATCACTCACAAAAATTCAAAAACAACCCAAACTGAAATTTATGTCCAAACACAACTCTAAATTTCAAATACCATTTTCACTTGAAAATATTTTTAACCATTTTTTCGAATTTTACAATTCTTATGTCCAAACGACTACTTAGAGTGGTGTTTGGACATAAATTTCAGTTTGGGTTGTTTTTGAAGTTTTGTGAGTGATTTGAGTGAAAATTTTGAAAAACAGTTTTTTGCAGTTTTTCAAATTTTCGATAATTTCCAAAATGCATCTTCAAGTGAAAATTGAAAACTTTATGAACAAACGTTGATTTCGAAAAAAAGTGAATTTTTTTGGGAAAAATCTTCCATCAAATTTTATGTCCAAACGGGCTCTAAGTATCCAAATATTGTAGCACGTAGTTTGCAAAACCCATCAAAATGGTTGCAGAGCACAAATAACTAGCCACACGAATTGTCAAGGCAACTAACCCAAATGTGACGCACAAATACTTCGCTTTAGCACAAGAATTTCGCATTCTCGTGTTGAAAATACATTCTGGTTGAAGAATAATTAGAGAATACTTTAAGGGTAAAGGAATTGCATTTAACGAATTTTTAACTCAAAATTAACAAGGTCACACGAGAACCCTAATCATGCAAATGTAGAATAACTATGCATTATAAAGCAAGCCTTAAAAAGATGGCAAAACAGTAGCATAATCACCAAAATCAAGTCCTAAGTTTGCGAGTAATACATTTCAAATGGGTAGAAAAAGGAGGACGGAAGATTGACATACCTATTTGATATCAGATGACCACAAACTTAAGGGCAAGTTTTTCTTCCAACCAAATAGAACCAAAAGAGGATCAGACTTTAAAGGACGGACAAAGAATGTAATCACTTGGCAGTGCCAATACTCAATCTAATCATATGATTTGCTTATTTTCTATCTTCATGAAAGCATTAACAAGTAACCAAAATAAGCAATAACCTGTCACCGCAGATGCTTAACATCCAACAGATTAACACCAAGATGGACAGGAAAAGTATCTGATACGTTCTCATCCTTCAAACTCTTTGGCCCCACTATTATTTTCTCATGATCCAACATCAAATATAAATCGACGTGTTTCAGAGTTCAGACTGGGTACAACCCATGGCGTTTTCTTATTCCAATCACCAAATCGACGTGTTGAGAATCCCTTCAAGCAAAGGGATCTAAGCTAAGAGAGATACAATGGATGTAACTTAATAATATTTCTCATTTCCATGAAGTGTCTTTCTTTCATTCCACAAGTTGTACAACTACTGCATCAAATAAAATGTCATACAACCTAAATCATGAAGAGATAGTTATAGGCAATTACCTCTAAAATTGACGTCTTTGGGCATAGCTCTTTCCTGTAATTCAAGCAAGAAGCATGAGATCCAATGCTCTCTAAAACATTACAGATTTCAAAGATATATAATAAGTTGACAAAGTAGTTAATAGAAATTTTAGAATTTTATTATTTGGAAAAAGCTTGACAGGTACATTGGACATGGATTATCAAGTTTTAAGAACACAGGCACCTCATCTAAAAAGGAAAAAATTATGCAGGTAAAAATAGCACCTTGACTGCAGAATTCTCTGCCTATCTTTCAGCACAACAAAATCAAGATCATCCAAAAGGTCATCAGGTTTCTTGCTATTGATTTCTTTCCCATCAGCAGTAGATGAAACATTGACAAGGTCACTGGATGAGTTCACTGTGCTATTCTCAGCACACTCAACCTTCACATTGATGGGAAACAGTGGTGATAATGACAGTTGAAGTGGAGTACTTTCAACAGTATCAACTTTTTCTGCAGAAAGATTCATATGATTCTGAAGTGTGTTCATCTTTGCTCCAGTTTGTAGGAAACATTGCTGCACATGACCTAAACACATGCAAATTCAAGAGTGTGAGCAAACAATTTTACTCCATAAAAATCAAACTTGAACATTTTAGTATCTTATTAGAGTACTGAACTCTTTGACCAATATGTCCCAAAATTTGAGGCCTTAGGACACAATTAACACAAGCACACTAAACAAAATCTGAATTTTAAACTTCAATCCAGCACACCTATCATGAGAAACTTTACCAGTAATATTTTGTTGCAGCACCAAGCTCTGTAGCTTCTCTTGTTGAACCGAATAAGCCAAATGTAGATTCTGCATAAGATTTTTCACTTCAGTCAACATGCAACCAAACGGAATACAAGGTAAAATAAACCCCAAATTTAAGCATATGTGATTATAATGCAAGAAGACCTCAGTTTTGCCTGCTTTTCCCGCTAGAGAAGAAAACAAAAAGTATGTTCGGATATCCAGCAAGTTATTAACAGTTAAACAGCCATAAGTTCACAGAAGCAAAAATCACTACTTTAGGACAGCACAGTGAAGGTTGATACTTCAAGAGAAAAAGAAAAGGCTGAATAAGTTATTAAGAAGCCTTTAATCAATTATTCAGCCTTTCTTTCTTTTAGTAAGTGTAATTGATTACTCAACATCCATACACCATGACTGAGTAAAACCAAGCTATCTGTCAGGCTCCAAGAGGAATTATCATTTAATACCTGCGAATCACACTGTTCATCTTCCTTTTTCACGAAGGTATCAATTGAAGACCTGCACATGTTACCATTTTCCAGAAATTTTGTAAGGATGACTAAATGGAAAGACTTTTCTGTTATGCTAAAGTGAAAAAGTTTTAAACATATTCCCAGCTAATGAAGGAAAGCAACAAGAGGTACCATCAAACTAAAACAACCAAAGCAATCGTGGCAAAAACAAATAATTATGTGCATATTCTACATTGATATATGTCTGGACTTTGGTCAATTTACCGTCAATTGGGAGAACATTGCCACATGCTTGCATATATCTATAAAATAGTTTCTACTTGGTTTTTCTAGATGAATGAGATTTTACATTGGACTAGTTCAGTGACCAAGCAGAACACACTAGTGGGAATCTACTTCTTTTACTCTTTAGCTAGCTTTTCAAAAGTTTTATTTTGTCTTCGGCACTTTGTTACTTCCTGTATCCATCAAAAATAAATTTCTTCACTAGAGCCTCGACAGCCCACTTCACTCCTGGCTGATTAATTATTGTGTCTTCCTATACTGGACAAACCATCAAATTCTAACCTGCCCTTACTTTCTTGATCTAGTCTTGACACTTGAGCAATAAAAGAAAAAGAAACCATAGCACAATGAACAGTAACATATCCAATTATTATAAATAACAAAGAGATGCGGTTAAAATCGTGGAGTAAGCAAAAGGCACGGCACGCAATATTGTGTTTTCTTTTTCTTTTTCTTTTTCCAAAACCATGAACATAACACAATAAAACAGCTAAAAATATCTTCATCTTTTCTCAATCAAAATTTTATCTTTTCATTAGTATCTCTTCTTTGTATGCTACAAATGTTTTTTTTCAAACTGTGAATTAAATACCAAAAACCGCTGTAAAAGTTCTGTGAGAAGGCACGGGAGAAAATATGTTATTAATATTGGATGTTCAATACAATACAAGAGGTCCTTATTTATAGCTATACTATACAAGGACATACTACTCCTATTCCAATGTGGGACAACACTACACTATATACATACCTGTAAACTAACACTCCCCCTCAAGCCGGTACATACAAATCATATGTACCGAGCTTGTTACATATATAACCAATACGAGGACCAGTGAGAAATCATTCGACCTCACAAACTTTGTAGCAATCGACGAAATGACAATCAATCTCAATGTGTTTAGTTCTCTCATGGAACACCAGATTTGATGCAATATGAAGGGCAGCTTGATTATCGCACACAAGTTCCATCCGACTGATTTCACCAAATTTCAACTCCTTGAGCAATTGTTTGGTCCAGACTAGCTCACATGTTGCCATAGCCATTGCTCGATATTCTGCTTCTGCAGTAGACCGAGCAACTACATTATGTTTCTTGCTCTTCCAGGACACCAAATTGCCTCCTACTAAAACACAATATCCAGACGTAGAACGTCTATCAGAAGGTGATCCTGCCCAATCAGCATATGAGTATCCAACGATCTGCTCATGACCTCGATCCTCAAACGGTAACCCTTTACCTGGAGCTAATTTTATATACCGAATAATGCGGACAACTGCATCCCAACGACTATCACAGGGAGAATTCATAAACTGACTTACAACACTCACAGGATAAGAAATGTCGGGTCTAGTCACTGTGAGATAATTTAATTTTCCAACCAGCCGCCTATAGCTTGCAGGATCGCTAAGTGGTTCCCCTTGTCCTGGCAGAAGATTAGAATTCGGATCCATCGGAGTGTCAACAGGTCTGCAACCTATCATCCCCGTCTCCTCAAGAATGTCTAAAGCATATTTTCTTTGAGAAATAACAATACCTGAGCTAGACTGGGCAACCTCAATACCTAGAAAGTACTTCAATCTGCCTAGATCCTTAGTTTGGAAGTGCTGGAAGAGATGCTGCTTTAGATTGGTAATACCATCCTGATCATTGCCAGTAATAACAATATCATCAACATAGACTACCAGATAAATACAGAGACTTGAAGCAGAGTGCCGATAAAACACAGAGTGATCAGCTTCACTACGAATCATGCCAAACTCCTGGATAACCGTGCTGAACTTACCAAACCAGGCTCGAGGAGACTGCTTTAGACCATAAAGTGACCGACGCAAGCGACATACAAGGCCACGAGACTCCCCCTGAGCAACAAAACCAGGTGGTTGCTCCATATAAACCTCATCCTCAAGATCACCGTGAAGAAAGGCATTTTTAATGTCCAGCTGATAGAGGGGCCAATGACGAACCGCAGCCATGGATAGAAAAAGGCGGACTGAAGCCACTTTAGCCACGGGAGAGAATGTATCACTGTAATCGAGCCCAAATAGCTGAGTATATCCTTTGGCAATAAGACGGGCCTTAAGTCGATCAATCTGGCCATCGGGACCAATTTTGACTGCATAAACCCAACGACAACCAACAATAGATTTACCTGAGGAAAGAGGAACAAGCTCCCAAGTACCACTTGTATGTAAAGCAGACATCTCGTCACTCATAGCTTGTCGCCATCCTGAATGAGACAACGCTTCACCTGTAGACTTAGGGATGAAAACCGAGGACAAAGAAGATATAAAAGCATAATGGGGAGATGACAGACGATGATAACTCAAACCGACATAATGAGGATTAGGGTTAAGTGTGGTCTGTATACCTTTGCGAAGTGCAAGTACTAGGAGCAGGGTCCGCAGCAGGAGCGGGGTCAGGTGCAGGACGAGAACCAGTTGGGCCTGGTGTAGGGCGCGAACGACGATGATAAGTCAAGAATGGTGTTCCTATGGCTGGGGAACTAGGAGGAACAACACTAGACTCCTCAACGGTTGGTATGGATGAAACCACTGTGGTCGAAGGTGGGGGACGAGCTATAGTAAACTCCTCAAAGGTCGGTATAGGTAAGACCTCAGATATATCATGGTGGTCAGCAGAAGTAAAGAAAGGTTTAGACTCAAAAAGTGTGACGTCAGCTGAAATAAGGTACCTACGAAGATCTGGAGAATAACAACGATATCCCTTCTGAACACGAGAATAACCAAGGAAGACACACTTGAGAGCACGAGGAGCTAACTTATCTTTCCCAGGGGCTAAGTTATGAACAAAACACGTGCTCCCAAAAACACGAGGTGGAAGAGAGTATAAGGGTGACTGGGGAAACAATACTGAATGCGGAATCTGATTCTTGATGGGAGATGAAGGCATCCGATTAATCAAATAACAAGCTGTGAGAACTGCATCGCCCCAAAAACGCAACGGAACACGAGATTCAATTAGAAGTGTGCGAGCAGTCTCAATAAGGTGCCTATTCTTTCTCTCAGCAACCCCATTTTGCTAAGGGGTATAAGGACAAGATGTCTGATGAATAATCCCTTGAGAAGTCATAAACTGCTGAAACTGAGAAGATAAATATTCTAAAGCATTATCACTGCGAAAAATGCGAATAGAAACACCAAATTAGTTTTTTGATTGCAGCACAAAAACTCTGGAATATAGAAAATAACTCAGAACGATCTTTCATTAAGAAAAGCCAAGTACATCTTGAATAATCATAACAAAATAACGAAATCCCAAGGTTGAACTGACTCTACTGGGACCCCATATATCAGAATGAACTAAGGAGAAGACACACTCTGCATGACTCTCAACACTACGCGAAAAGGAGGCTCGGGTATGTTTCCCAAGCTGACACGACTCACAATCTAATGTAGACAAACTAGATAAACTAGGCACCATCTTCTGAAGTTTGGATAAACTCGGATGTCCTAAACGTCTGTAGATTAGATCTGGAGGATCTGTAACTAGACATGTTGTGGAAGGATTGAGTGAGTTAAGATAGTAAAAACCTTCTGATTCACGTCCTGTACCAATTGTCTGTCCCGTACTGCGGTCCTGCATAATAAAAGAATCGTCAATAAAATATATACCACAATGGAGGGCACGAGTCAAACGACTAACAGATGCAAGACTAAAAGGACAGCCAGGGACATAAAGAACGGAATCTAGGGTGATAGAAGACAAGGGACTAGCTTGTCCAACTCCTTTTGCCTTAGTTTGGCATCCATTGGCGAAAGTAATAGTGGGAAGAGACTTTAAATATACAATATTTGACAAAAGTGATATATTACCGGAGATGTGATCAGAAGCGCCAGAGTCCATGACCCATGGGCCAAGAGTGCTAGACTGGGAAACACAAGCAAAAGAATTACCAGTAACAGAAGTATCAGTCTGAGCAACTGAGGCTACTTGTGGAGATGTCTGCTTACTTGCTCGATACTGAAGGAGCTCATTATATTCTTCTTTAGATAAAGAAAATACCTAGCTACATGTAGTCTCGGTCTGAGCAATGTAAGCATTTTTTGGTGGACGACCATTTAAGGAATAGCACATTTCACGAGTGTGTCCAAGTACAATAAGAACACTTGGGTCTAGATCTTCTAAAACGACCTCCTCTTCGTCTATGCTCCATAGTTTGAGATGCCCGAACATCCACTGTCTGGGATGCAAGAACAGAGGAATCAAGTATCTGTGATGAGATCACTGGGTGACTTGGTGCTGCAGCAAGGCGGAGTAATCGAGAGAATAATTCATCACCTGTCGGGACAGTTGGACTAGCCAAAATCTGGTCGCGTACTGAATTAAGATCATTAGGAAGTCCAGCGAAGGTAAGAACGAGAAACATCTTTTGTCGCTGCTCTTGTTGTTTTTCAACACTAGCAGAAACTGGCATCAACTTCTCAAATTACTCCATGACTGCCTGTACTTGACCCAAGTAAGTAGACATATCTAATTCCTGTTTCTTTAAGTTTGTCATCCGCGATATCACATCATAGAAGCGATATATGTCATTAGTGTATAAGGTGCGTGCCTTTGCCCAAACCAAATAACATGTTTGGAATGGACGAAACAAGGGCATCAACTTGGAATCAATAGATCGCCTGCTACATAACAGAGCATCAATATTTGCCCAAAGTGCTATTGCTTTTTCATCTCCTTCGCTAGACTGTTTGATTAGATGATCTTCAAACACCTTGGCCTCTACACCACAGCTCGACAGATGAAGCCCAAGCTAAGTAGTTTGAACCTCCCATTAAAGGTTCCGAGGTAATAATAGCACTAGAGCTTCCAGAACTCATGTTTCTAGACCCAAAAGCATCAAATCCCAAAGACATTGTTGCAAATTATTACCAAATAAGAGAAAGAATCAACTGTAATCCACTGAAACAAAGTAAGGAAACACAGAAACAGAATAATGAAATATTGTAGCTGCCGGAATCTTACTGTAGCTGTCGGAATAGTACTGTAGTTGCCGGAAAAAACTCAAAGTGGTCGGAATGAAATGAAAACAGTAGGGGTAGGATCAGAATTACCAGGCGACCCAACTGTTCCGAAGGAAGTTTTTCAAAAAATGGCCGGAAGTGGTCGTACGCGCCGGCGCGTGAGCTTCTGGTGGCGCGTGTAGGCGCGTGAGTAGGTTGCTGCCGGAGATTTTCACTGGGGTTTGGTCGCCGGACAGTGACGATTCTTGTGGTAGTGTTGGATTTTGCACAATACTGATAGAGACGAAGCAGACGCAAAACAGCCTTAAAAAAGAGTCGTCGGAAAAAGGCTTCCGCTGACTGATTTCTCTTCCCAGAATCGCTGGAATTTATGCACAGCGATAAATCTCTCACAATTGCTCTAAGGCACGGAAGAAAAAATGTTATTAATATTGGATGTTCAATACAATACAAGAGGTCCTTATTTATAGCTATACTGTACAAGGACATACTACTCTTATTCCAATGTGGCACAAGACTACTATATACATAGTAGTAAACTAACAAGTTCCAATCGTTTTCATAAAATTTCACCTTTTGCAGCAATATCTTTTTTTTTTCTTTTTCATTTACTTTTACTTCCAAAACTCTCAACTAAACACAATTAAACAGATATAAAAAATCATCTTTTTCAATAATACTTTTTTTCTCTTTAATTTCGAAAACTGTGAACTAAACACTGTAAACCAGCTACAAAAAAAAATCTATTTCATCAAAGTTGCTTTACATATTGCAAATTCTATGCAAAAAGATAAGTTAACAAAAAATCAATTAAACATCACGGTTATAAAGAAAATAGTCCTTTTTAGACAGAATGGATAGAGTTACCCGGTACTCGCCGGTAGATAGCCGTGGAATTAGTCTAGCCGAACACCATGGTTATAAAAAATAAAAAATAATTGAACAACATAAAGATTCATCTACTTTTTATCAAAATTTCATCGTTTGCACACAAAAAAATCTCTTTATTCTCGAAACCTGTGAACTAATCACTGTAAACCAGATACACAAAACTTATCTATTTCATCAAATTTGCTTTCCAAATACCAAAAGTGTAAGCACAAACATAAGAATTTAACTAAACACAGTAAACCAATAAAACTTTTTCTTTCCTTTAATTTCCAAAACTGTGAACTAAACCAGCTAAAAAAATCTTCTATTTGCTTTCAAAATAAGAAAACAAAACTCACTGCACCACATTGGAAGATTCCAGAAGACGCTTGCTGGCTAAAAGTAACTTCAATCGCTGTTTCAACGGAAGCCGTTCAAACTCCTCCTCCGTTTTAACGGCTGCATCCATTGAAAAGCACAACTCGGCCATTTCTCACACAAATTCCATGCCACTTTTTGAGAACATGAACATTAAAAATCAAAAAGAAGAAAGTAAGAACAAAAATTGATTTTTTTCTAGGGCTTTGAATGAACAAATGATTTTTTACATAGATATAACGATAAATACACAGAAAAAATGTGAAAGTGAGAGAAGAAGATCGTACTCGTACCTTTTAGAGGTGTTTTTGCGTGAAGAATCTTTTTGTTTCCGAAAGGTGAAGATGAAAGTTTTGCTCGAGCTATTTGGCGCGATTTCCTAATTTGGGCTTTGGCGGATCGGGAAGATTTGGGCCTTTTGTCATGGGCCGTCAGATGAGATAATACTAAATATTTCACGGACAGCCTATTTGGTCCTCTCATTTAATTTATAGTCCGTTTTCCAAAATGTTTAAGCAGGCAAACTTCAGACTCCACATTTCTTCTTTTCTTCTAATTACTATGCGGGGTACCCACATATGTAATGATATTTTGCTCTCAGTGTTTTAGTAATTGCATTGTATATTTCGTAAATTTTTATTTATTTTTAGGCTAATTTCTGGCTTAAAATGAATAAATTAAATGGAGGTATATGAGTGAAATAAAATGGATGAATAAATTACTTTCGGGCTAAAAAATAAATAAAATTTATGTATCGTGAATAAAATGGATGAAGTATCTTGAGTGAAATGAAATGGAGGTATAGACTTTTTAAATTTCATAAGCGGATTTTGATTTTGTCAACATCAGTCTCGAGGATCTGAAGTTGATTCTAAAACGACTAAACCTACAAAGAATTATGAACCTTCAGAAATGAGTTAATACTGATCCTCAAGTCGGCTATTTGTGCACTTCCCTCAAGATAGTATTGCATAGGTGAAATACACAAATAACCTTCAAAGTGGATAGTCTTGATTTTTGGTCCTTGCTTGTTCCACGAGCATAACTCAAGTTTAACAAGTGTTGCTCCTTGTTTGTCGGGAAACAGTTTTAACTTTTGACCTTTAAATTTTGTCCATAGGACAAATGGAGAGTAAAAGATTAAAGATCACCCCAAAAGTATTATATTTCTGCAATTTTTTGGTATTGCGATGGGGACTGAGAGAGTTTTTGGCCCTTTTATGGGCTATTGGGGAGAATGTGGTTCTTTAGTCCTAAGGGGAAGTATTGGGTCCAAATCATGAGCAATCAAAAACGAAGCGTTACACCGTAGAAATGACACTAAGTAGCCACTCTAAATGGCTGTTATTTAGTAATTTAGCCAGTACGTCCAGAACTTCTGTTTTTCAATTCAAATTTTCAGGACAAAAATGTTTTGAGTTGTCCTGAAGTTAAGAACTTTAGTTTAAAATTTCATAACAAAATAAGTAATGGCTAATCTCTAAATAGCATCCCTAAGAATGGTTATCTGTGCACTTGCCCTAGGTGAAACCCGTGTTTTACCTAGTCTCAAACTTGTATTTTTTTGTTCTATCACATGTAATTTAGGAATTTACATTTGAGAATTACAGTAAAGCTTGATACTTTTGGGTGTACTACATGGGATGTTGGAACAATAAATATAAAAAAAAAAGGATAGGCGAGTGAGAGACTTAAAGTTACTTTTAGTTCTTCCATTCTCGATCAATAGGTTAAGAGTTCTAGTCACCCAAAAGGCAAATATAGGTATCAACTTGTTATAAGAAGTCTCAAAACTATTAATTTTATTTGATTGCTTCATCAAAATTTTGTAACTTATTTTACCAAAAATAAGATATACAAGGCGAATCAAAGTATTTGTAATGAGTAAATGACGTTGTATGGCCATCCAAATATTTTAATAGCCCATATTTTTATTTTTGACCCGAAATGGCCTTTGGGCCCAATACTTTTGCAAATTATAGCCACAATTCCCAATGCACTTCTCTTCCCAATTCATTCTTATTTCATACTCCTCCATTTGTTTGTTATTCTCCTCCCACTTCCATCATCGATATAATCACCGCCAATCCAGCTTATCTCTACCGCCTGATCTCACTACCACTGATTGACCATATTTTCATAAGTAAATCTTCATCTCCCTCTCTAAACACACTCAAATTTCAACCCCAAAATCAAATCGACCAACAACCATCCCTTGCGAATAGAAAATTTATAGAAATCATTTTTCGTTGCCTAAAACATCTCCACCACTACCTCTAACCGATGATAATTTTATTATCTTCCGTGTTGCTTCCTTCCTTTTCTATAAAAGTCATGTAATTCTAGAGCTGTAAGGAATTATAGCAAATACTTGGCTAGTGATATCTATCGGCCATGGTTGCGATCAGATAAAGACTATGGTGACCTTACCTTTCGCTTTCCTTTTCGGCTCCGACTTTTTTGCAGCGACCTTACAAATGTTATGTTGTATAATAGGTGTATGTGTACTATTATACAATTTATATACATTGTTTATACAATATAAATGTTGCTGGTGGGTTGCTGGTGTTTTGCGAGCCGTTTTGGAGGTTGGGCTTCATGATTTTTTTTGGATGAATTTATGTGCATTTCCTAGGAAGAAGTAAAAAGTGAAGTGGTTGTTCTTCTTCTTCTTCTTCTGGTTTTTGAATATGAGATGTATAATTGGTGTATCTCATGTACAATAAATGTATATTTAGTGTATCTTTTATGTAATATCTATGTATTTATATACACTTTGAGTTTTTATACAGTATACACTGATTATATAATATATATATATATATATATATATACACTAATTATATAATTTCAACTACGAGAATTTCTTTGGTGAGCAAAAAACAAAAAGAGATAGAATTGTATATATACTATTACATTGTATAAATTTTGTATATAAAGTATATCATATATTTTTCAACGTACCCCTAAATCCTAATATATCTTTAGTGTATCCAAAGTATATATATTTCTTATAAAAAAGTATATATATTATTCTACGATGTATAAAAAGTGTATATATTATTCTACAATGCATAAGAAGCGTATATATTATTTTACGATGTATAAAAAGTGTCTATACACTTTATACTAGTGTAAAATATGTATATTGTGTGTACAACATATACATCACCTTTTTTTTTTCTTATATCATGAGTAAATATGCGATATCATATTTTTTTAGATTAGATCAGTAAAAATTTTAGGTTCTTAATAAAATATAAAAAAGATTATAATTTATATGTAATAGGAAGAAGTTTGGTGGTTGTAGAGGTGAAAGTGCTCAAAATTTATCCAAAAAATAAAATAAAAATCCTAAACATAAAAAGGAGGTGAAAGTGTTTGAAATTAAAAAAAAATAATTTTTTCTTGTGTCATAACAAACAAAAAAAAAATCTAAAAGGAACTTTTTATGGACGTAAAAGGAATTGAATCAAAAACTAAGGCTCCCAAATGCAAAAGGGAGTTCAAATTACAAAAAGATTAGGCGGCCACTGGTTTTTTTGTTTCAGTTGCTAGCCCTTTCAATTGTTTTGGGCTATTAATTGTATGGTTTATTTTATGGCTATCGATTGTCATTAGGTTGATGGTTATAAGTGATAATAGCTCTATTTGTAATAGCATCATTCTAATACTTTCTACATTGAGGTGCTAACTTGTCTTATTAACGCTCACTAATGTGGGAAGATATTAGAAATCTCTAGCTATATTCTTATAACTTAACTCCCGTGTTATATTAATTGTCACGAATTTACATTCTCAATTTTACAATCATAAGATATAGTCTAATCTCGTAATTAATATTTCTCAGCAATGCATATATCACATAAGATAATACGAGTATGAATGAAAGAGTGAAACCTCAAATAATGGCTAATATTTTATGCTGGGATGTGGGTTCAATCCGTGCATAAGTGTTTTTGAAGTACATAAAGAAGGAAGAAGGAGAATAATATATTATGCTAGAGTATGTGAGCTTCAAATTACATTAATAGTCACCAAAAAAGAAAGTTTCATTTGAGATTTTGAAAGGATATTAATGTGGCGGAAAGGATATTAATTAGTTATTTAGCTTAAATTTATTCTCTTGCTTTTACTTTGTTTCTACTTTTCTTCCGTCGGAATCTAAAGCTTATTAAAAGCTACGTGATATGAAAACAACGGAATAAAAATAAGTTAATAAGAATAAAAGAAAATTAGTATAGTCTTAAGACAAAATTAATAGACTTGTGCCCGTCCATCTTTTCCTTTTGTTTTTTGTTTAACATAAATTAGCTATTTAGCTTATGTTCGTGAGTGCATTAACCTCCCACAAGTTTTCCCTCTGACAATTAACATAGATAGGAATTTAATATTTTATAATGTTTTAAACTCACTCATCTACCATTTGAATCGACGAACAATTGAACCTTTGGACCTTCTCAACCTCAAGATATGATAAGTCTACATTGAGGTGGCCGATGATTGCTTCGATAATTCATTGTTATCCCGGCGTATTTGTGTTGCATAAGTAGTAGTACTAATTTAATTGATGCAATCAAACTTTTTCATAACAATCTCGTTTATTTTGATTTTTTTTTTTACTGATACAGTGAAGTACATAATAAATAACAAATATTTAATATGAAATATTGGTTCCAAACTTCCAATAATGAAATGATGTTGCAGATTGTTTACCCGAAAAATGGATAGAGTTGAATTTATACGTAGTTCTAAGGATACATTACATAAATTGATACAAATTGAGAAAGATATGTAAATGAATATCGAAATTAGTTATAAAAGAAATGAATGCAAATCGAATAAACTAGTTAGTCCAAGCCTTCAAGTTTTATCACGTTCAAATTGAGTGAAGAATGATTGGTAGAAGAAACAATATGACTAAATATCAAAAGCCAAAAAAAGGATAGTATTTGCTCTCATTTCTGTATATCTCAAAAATGAATCTGCCCCTATACAAATGATAACAACTCTTAATATAGTGGGAGAATCTCATTTTGGATATAATTAAAAATACATAATGGGAATCCC